GGGCCTCTGTACCCCTTCTCTCTCACACTCACTGGGGCTCTGGGCCTCTGTACCCCTTCTCTCTCACACTGCACTCACGAGATGTCCAGCAGGACTTAATATTTCTGCAATTTCCCTCACGGGGCCAATGAAGTATCTATCTCTATCCTAGTGATCAGCAGGGTTTTCACACCTCTGTCTCCAGCAGCTGCAGAGATGGGAAAGTCTGAGATCTGTCTCACCTCCAGGCTGACTCTAGCCCCGGATGAAAACGTGGCTGGCTGCAGAAAAGTAGTGTGTGTGTGTGAGGAGGGGTGCGAAACTCGCAGATTGCGAGAGTTCCTGTCAGAGCCGCACTCGTATGCGTCAGGCCACGCTGGGCAGGGCCTGCAGGCGGGTTCCTGGTGCTCTGCGCGCCGCCAGAGGCGATACCACCGACTGCTGCTTCCTGTTGCTCACACAGCATGGGCGCGCGGCACAGGAGGAGGTAGAGGCACAGCATAGGTAAGACCGCCGCAAGGGTTAATTCGCTTCGCTGGGGGTTGTCTCTTAGTCAAGGCAGCCCCTGCCTGCGAGCCTGACTGCGTCTTCCATGACGGCACGTTTACTGGGCAAGGAAGAGCCAGGGCCAACGATCCAACAGCAAACGGCAAGACTCGGTGCTCACAGGGTCCCAAAGGCACCAGGGTCCCGGAGATGACGTTGCATGTTTTGTAAGATGTTTGCATGTTGTGTGTAAGGTTAAGTGTCCGATTTTAAGTTGACGTCTGTGCCTCAGCACTGTGAAAATGGTTAAGAGGAAAAGGCTGGCATGAAGGAGATATTGATTAACATCTGCTTGAGTGTCTGTTTATAGATATACTCTTCGTTTGCTGATAAAGCTACTTAGGACAGTAGTTATGAGGAAAATGTTAGTTATTTGTGTATAGGTATTGGAATTCTTTGCATATGCTGTATATGCGTACGCAGATCCAATCCAGCTACGTGCCCATATAAGGGTGGTGTACATCATCAAACAGGTTTGAGTAGGTAGCTGTGTCAGCATGCGTAGGCTGCAAAGCAACAGAAGGTCCATTCCAAACAGAAAGAACCTCACCTTTCTGCAGGGAATGAGTTTTTACCTATTCCTTTACACCAGCACATTCGAAGATAGCTTGTTTCATGTTCTAAGCTACAGCGACACATACAGTAGTTTTGCTGGGCAGGGTCCTGCGGGGCTCAAAATAACCTGCAGATGAAGTGCATTGCATCATTTCTGCGCTAGAAGGGAAGGTAAGGTGCATGTTCACAGTGAAGGGGAAGTCGACAGCAGTAGAAACACTCCCTCAGTATTACACTGCTGGCATACAGTGAATGGTGGGTAACGGCCATTTGGTCCTGCCTGCTTGTAGCTAACTGGTCTGAGGATCTCACCCAGCTGTTTCTTGAAGGAAGACAAGATATCGGCTTCAGTCAGATGGCGGGGCAGCTTGTTCCACACTCCTACAGCCCTTTGTGTAAAGAAGTGACTTCTGTCCTGACCGGAGGATCTCATCAAGCCATTTCTTGATGGAAGACAGGGTATCAGCTCCAAGCTCAAGGCTGGGCAGCTTGTTCCAGCCTCCCTCAGCCCTCAGCCAAGTGGATTCTGGGGTCTATGTCAGGTTGCGTTGTGTAAGCCACACACTGGGCCTGAAACTGATGACTTTCAGGCTTTCGAAAAGGGAACTCATTTTTCACGCTTGAGGAAAATGTGTCTGTGGGCAAAGCCAGGGCTGCAGGCCGGAGGGGGGCGTGAGGGTAGCCATGTGGCAGGGGTGTCTCTGGCCTGGCCTGCAGGAGCCCAGGGGCTGATCTGACAGGCTGCTGTCAGAGTCCCAGCCTTTGAAGATCCTCAACCAGTCGTCTCGCAGGCTC